GATTCATTGATTCATTGTTTTTCTATTATCAAGAGACAGCACTATAGCATTATATACACATTTCATAAATGGTTTATAACACACTATAATGGAGTGTAAGTGTTTATTAATGTATTTGTCAACTATAACTCCTACTCCATCAGTGGAGGCTGGTATCAACAGATAATGAATGACAATATAGTGAAACACAGTTGTAATGTTATAAAATTATGTTAGTTATAATTGTTAATTGTTATAACTACATTATAGTGTAATAAACCATTAATTAAATGTTTACAAAATGCTTATAAATGAAAAAGACTTTACCACCAATTGCAATAATGCTGTAGAAAGACACAGTTTGACAAATTTGCCATGTGAGCCATTACACAGTAGTGAACGTAATTAATTGGAACTGGTCTGTATTTGTTAAAATTTTTCAGACCTTTCTAGTATTTGAATACCAGCTTTTATTTGACAATTTGCAGTACACCATTTTACTGTTATCTATAGTGAGCCCTCCCTTAAGCCCGTTTGACTCTATACTGACAGGGTGGTTATTAAAGCCAAGGTTGAAAGAACTGAAAGAAGAGAATAAAAGAAGAATCAATATTAAAAAGGAAGGCTTTTGTTTTAATTAAGCTTTTTCGGGTATTCTGTATTTTTCTTAATAAGCCCATAATTTGGTATCAGTCTCTGGATGTTTGGGCTCTCACCACACATACAGTACATCTAATTACACCCAATTATCCCTGTAAATGCCAATAAGACCTATAAAGCTTTTACAGTTGGTGTAATAGATTAAGATTATCTCACATTTTACACGTTTTATAATGGGCACTGGCACAGGCACTGAAAATTGACTTTTGTTGAAAAACTGCCTTAGTTCAAAAGCCGCAAATGAGTCAGGTAAATGGATCACAATGACATGCAGAAAACGAATCGGGTAAGAGGACATATCCTCCATCAAATCCACCGGCAAGTCCCAAGATATAGAGTGTAAAGAATTATACTGTTAAGTAGGGGTGCTAATGTCACACAAGAGATACATAATCTATAGTCTATACACTCACACACACACACACGCACACACATATACAGCCACGGTAACTGAGCCATCATCCCTAAACCCAGCCCATTTCAACATAAAGACACATCATTAGTTATTATGTAGTATTTGAGTAATTCTCAGGGCATTATTTTGGAAAGTATTTGACCTTCACAAAATGAATGATCCTGGAAAAAGATGTGTTTTATGCTGCTTTCTTCCCCCTTCTCTGATAAAGTTCCTAGAATAGAAAGACAGAAATGTCTGAGAAGAACAAGTACAGTCAGTCTAAAAACTTCTCCCTGGCACTTATTGATTTTACACTCTTATCTAAAGCCGAAGTTTGTGGGTTTTTTGAAGTTGTTTCATTGAACCCAAAATGAGTTGCCTACTTTGCCTTTTTGCCTGATTATGTGCCATGATGCTAATTTACATTCAAGCCACGAAAACCCAAAGTCTACCAGAGATTCTCTCGAAGAAAGCAATGGGTAGAATGAAGGTTTCTGTAATAAGATTTGCAAAGTCTGTTGTGCAGACGCTCAGGTCACTTGAGGGTAAACTGTCAAAGTGAGAGAAGTTCAGCCTCAAAACTTTCCCTGTGATTTTGAAGTTTTAATCAGTGTTTGATCCAGCCGTGTTTGTTTGAGGATTCAGCTGATGTTACGGTGGGAGCAGAGAGTGTGCCATGAAAAAGAGTATGTTGGAAGACCTTCCAGTTACATTCTGAATTTTGCTCATGCCGCAGGGTCTGGATTGATGGAGCACCTCTGGGTGTCTAAGATACATCAAAAATATGCATGTCGTGTCAAATTCATATTGCTGCAAGTGAAATCATTAATTCCTTAGTGAGAACAAGTGCAATGGCTACAATTTAACTGGCTCAAAGCTGCTTTTCAGACGCATTTTAATAATAGTTCATAACAGCTATTGATCTCCTAGTTGAATTCAAGGGTCCACAATTTCAATTCTTGAAATTCATAATTAAACAAAATTGTTTTTATACTGAACAGACACTCAACTCAATAACAGTAACAATATGATTAACACAATAGTTGTGTAGTATAATTGTTATTCTCCCTCCCTGACAAAAAAACATTCTAGTACTATTCAAGTACTGGTTCAACAGCTTCCTCGGCAACAGTTATACAGAAACACAATGAATATTCCTACAGAACATTGTTGTTATGTAATTAACTTCAGCTCATCTCCTTGATTTGCTCTTATAAATGACTACTTAAGAAAGTGTGAAAACTTGTGGACATACACTTCATCTGATCCACCATTTACATTTGTACACACACACACACACACACACACACACACACACACACACACACAAGCAACACCCACACAAGAAACTCACTAACTCACCCCTCCACAGAGATGATCCAGATTGTTCAGTGCTCTAAGCCGTTGCGTCCTGCCAGTGTGAAATGTAATTTCCTCTGGAGCTACACACTGTAACAAAGCCAGGCAATGAAATAGGAATGACAGAGACAGAGAATGAGTTGTGAATGATGCTGAAATAAAGAAAAAAAAAACACTCAGTGGTTCAGTGCCACTTTTATAGCACTGATAAACCATAAGGTACAATGCAGTAATCTAACTATACAGAGTGGCTGTAGTTCATGTTATGTCCATTTGTTGAAGTGCACTTAAGCAAGACATTGAACCACATACTACTGATGTGTGCACAGTATATGGGGAATAAATGTAAGTTGCTTGGGACATACCAAAAAGAATGTAACATAAAAATTAGGGATGAAATCTTGGCTCACAATATACTATCACAATGATAAGAATGGTATCATGTTACTATTCATGTATGTTGCGAGCAACCGTTTATGATACATCACTCTATCTGTATCTGTGACTGAAGAAAAACTCATCAGACTACATTTATTCACTGCCTTTGTTTTAAGCTTTGCACAACTTTATAGAGAGTTGTGATGAAATGATGTGTAATAACGCACAGAGGCTAACAAGATGCCTGAACTGGATGCTGTTTCTGACAGAAATGGTACAATTTTATTTTAACAACTACAGCTCTTCACATTGGCCACGCAACTGCTTGTGCTTTATGGCTGGGAGATTGACCCAAAGATTCTTTTAGAGTTGTGTTTTCTTACTTACACACTAAAATGTGTGACTTTGTATTACCTGTGAGTTTTGTCAAACACCTGAATGAGTACAGTATTACACTGACGGTGGACTTGCAGCTGCTGCTGTTCTGCTGCTTTTGTTGTGTGGCTGTTGTACTGTTGAGGTCTTTTTAACACATACAAAGGTATAGCTAGTATCACTCAGCTGAAAAGTTCCAGAGTTAAAATGTCTGGAGCCATGGAAGGATGTACTTGCACCCCACTTTGATGCTAGTACATTGCTTCACTACCTCACCCACAATGTGTGAGTGTAGAAAAGGCTGTTCCTGAAAAAGAGAACATTGCCCCCAGTGGAACTACTGGTTCGATATATAATGATATATTTATTTATCTATTTGTTTCACCTCTACTTTTATTCAAAGGGTTAGGGTTGAGGGTAGTGTTAAAATTGTTATATTCAGAGGATGGGAGGTTAGAGACAAGAGAGCAATGGGGTGAACATGGGGATCGAAGTCTGAGGACAGTAAAACAATAGCAATAAAACAGATGAGAAGGTTGATTTGTTCATGGACTCTTCAAGCAATAGAGATTCCCCCCATGTCTTGGTTGAGAGTATTTGGAATACTGCAGAAGTATGTTTTTTTTATTCTATTTCCTTCATTATTCCTTCTTCATTAAGTCTGAAACACTGAGTGCCAGTCAGTTATCATGCAACACATGAGATTTTCAATAATGAGAAATTTTATGCCTGCGTCTTCTAGTCAAAGCCCTGTCAATTTGGTTTCATGAAGCACAAAATTGCCTTGAAAAATAAAGCTTTGAACTATTGATTCATTCCTTTGCTTTTGGGTATGCTTTGAATTATTCTGTAGACAGCAGCACAGCAGTCAGACTAGCTGCATATTCTGAGGCTGTTATGAGAAGTGTTTTTGTTGGCTTTTCAAAGTGTTCAGTATTATCGTTCATAATTGAATGATATTTTTCCAGAAGTTTGTTTTGTTATCTGTGGCTTGATGTGTGGAATAAACGTGTCCTCTTCCTGTTGTGCTGTTAGTGTGCGAGAAAAAGAACCATAGAAAATGTCATTGATAGTGCTTATTCATTGTTATGGTTAATGACAAAAAATGATAAAGAGCAGGTGATGACAAATAATAGATTAACAAAGCAAATGAATATACAAATGTCATGATGCAATTATTAAAAAAATGTAGGTTTCATAGAGGTAGTATTCATGGAGTGATTAGATAACACTGCAGTGTAGAGTCATTCCTGCTATTGTGTCCTATTCCTGTGTATTTATGTAGCCACTGAAATTGCACAGTAAAAAATGACTAGGGTTACTATAGGCTATATAATAGCATAAATTAATCCTTGGTGAGTTTTTATATTACATAATATATGCTGGTGTGTAGCAGCAAAAAGCTGCTGTGGTGCTGTTAAAAGACATTGCTAATGCCAGACCAAGGACAGAAAGATCCTGACAAGATTTACTATGGGTATGTGAACATCCATTTCTGGCTAATTGGAGGTGTTGGAATTAGGTTTATGTACATCCACACAATTTCAAAATGATGTGTCGCACAAAAATATGCCTGCAAGGCTTTATTAATGGCAAGCAAATACTGCCTCTGTATATTTCTGCGTTGTGTGTGTCTGATTTTTTTTTTTTTTTTTTTGTTTCTGAATCTGTGCAGAGTTAGATGTATATATCCCCTGATGTCTAGATATTTTTCTCACAGCAAAGGAGACAATTTTACCCAGACAGAAAATAATACAGTGACCCTAATGTACTCGTAAAGAGCATACACTGTGACTGTGATGTTATCTAATGCAATGAAGTGAGTGTTAGCTGTGATGTGTGTGGTTTTCAGGATATCCTGAACAACCTGGACCCTCGAGGACCTGGAGAGTTGGATGATGATGACCTCATGCTAGATGTGGACCTCCCAGAGGATGGCTTGCATGGTCAGCATGTGCACACACACACACACACACACACACACACACATGGACACACAACACTTAATATAATTGCAGTCATCCTACACAGGATTTAAATTTGAGAGGTTATCCTATGGCCATGACAAATGCTTCATTTTCATTGGCTGGAGATTGTCCATTATTTTTGTATAAGTGGACACCTCCAGCAAAACTGCTCTGATCATAATTGTAAATTAACGCATTACCAATTCTATTATGCAGTATCATTCTATAGCATATAAAGGCTTGAATAACTTGAATCCTACCTTGCCTTGGGTGAAGATTTGCCTCTGCAACATCCATTTAAAATCTTTTAATGGACACCTTGTTGTTTATTATGTGCTGTTACTCTCTTAGTATTTGGTTGCTGAATAGTTAGGAAATTAGTATTGTGTTAGCATGATTACTTCAATAGCTAAAAGTTCACACATTACATTACCAATCACATCTTGACAATATCTATCATTTTCTCTGTCACTTATTTTCACTTTGTAAATGTAATCATGTACTGATCTCATTAAAACTGAGTAAAATAGCTTCTTTGTAGATGTTAAAGGTAATCAGGTCACATTATTACCACATGATAATGGTGATGATAACGTTATTATGGAGTCATCCGTTAGTGTGTATCACATAATGTATATGGAAGGAGGAGGGGAGAGGAAAAGAAGGGTTGTGGAATATTGACCCCACCTGTCATGAAATATAATGCTTTCTAGGAAGTGAATTTTCCCTTGTGAGTCCTTAAGCCAGTACCATTCGTGGTTAATGTGTTTAATGCACCACTTTAATATGGAATGACAGGCTTGATATGTTCAAACAAGACTCCCTTTGGCACCAGAATATGCAGTGTACAGAGGGTGCACATGTTAATCATACATGTGCACATACAAAGATAGGGGAGGCCACAAGAACATGCACCCATACACATACAGTGTACACACTGTTGCCAGTTTATTTGAGAGTAATATAGTAATAACGCAACAGCCCTGCAGTAAATTCTACCCTTATGAAAGCCATAATGTTCAGCTTTTGTTCAAACTGTGTTAGAGTTGTGTTGATTCAACTTTATGGCCATTTTGGAAGCTGTATATTGTGATGCTGTTGAACTGTATCCTCTTGCACTGAGAGGTGTTTCTAATATTTCGTCTGCCCTCACTGATATAAATGAAAGCCTCCAAAATGATCATAAAGTTGAATCAACTCCTCTCTAAAGCAGCCTCAACAAAAACTGAGCAATACAACCTTCATGAAGGGAGGATTTGTTGCAGGCCTGTTGTATTGGACTGCATTCGTTTTAGCATGGTGTACCCTAATAAACTTCTAACTGGGTATACATTACTGAGGCAGCTTTATACCCCTGGTATCATTCTTAAATTTGTAAACAGTGATCTCCTTGTTTTCGAGAGAAGGAGACAGAGAGTGAGAGAGAGGGAAAGGAATGTTCACTCCAGAGGAATGTCAATGAAGTGTCGTCCCATCCTACTCCTTTTTGGGAAGTGACCATATTTATAGCTCTCTGTGTCATGGTTAGAGCTAGTGTCACGAGAAGTGGTGTGAAAGAGAGACGGGCTGAAGAGTCCAGTTAGACCCAGCCCACGGGGCAGGCCCTGAGACGTGGGATACGGAAGGGTGTTTCCTCCCTCCTAAAGACACCCTGACTCTGCCACAAAACAGGAAGAGGGGAAGGGGAGAAGAGGAGTAAAAAAAAAAGAAAAGAGGAGGGTAGAAAGGGATCTTGTGTTGTATTTTCATCCAGCTGTCCTTGACGGGAGAGAGGCCCCAGCTTTTCTCCCTTGCCTGCCTCAGCTGGTGACTTCCTAGCTTTGGACGCAAACCAGTCACCTCAGCTGCTTTCTCACCACAGTCCTCTTTCCCCAGTTCCAGTTCCTAGGGAGTTCCCAGAAAAACAAGGCTGTCAACAAACACAGATCCAGGCAGTCTGGGAACTGGGTTGACTCTCTCCCTCCCTGGCCCTTTAACTGCTCACCAGCTGACTGGACAAGAAGTCATTTCTCTCCACTCTCCGTCTGAGTTTCTCTGTCTTTATGGATTTTTCTTTCCCAGTTGGAATATATTTCCATTGTATCACTTTTTAGAGGACTTTTTCTGAGCTGAAAGGGAGTCGTTTTCTGGAATGTAACAGTTCAGTATGAAACAGGCTGTCTGCTCCTGTGCTATGAGGTGACACTCAGGGTAAAGTATTTTAAACACAGCTGCTGAATTCCTTGAATTGGGTCTTCCAATCTGCCAATTTTTCTTTATCTGTCTTCTTCTTTCTCTCTTTTTCTTGCTTTCTCTCTGTCCAAAGACTGTCTGGTATATAGAAAATCAAGGGCCCTTTTGATTTCCTGGGGGTCACGCTCTGTTAGTTGTCAATTTTGTTGCGGTCATGGTTCATTTCACAGCTATATGCTATTGAGTATTGCCAAATACTGTGTCCTTTTACCTTATTGAAAATGAAATGGCCTGTCACTGTCTGTGTGACTGTGTGTTTGCATTTGATGGTGGAGATAGCTCAGAGAAATAGAGAATGAGATGGATCAGATCATGATTTATATGCAGATATTCTGGAATAGAGTATTTGCAATATACACAGTGGTATTTATTACGACAAGGTATGAAAAATTGACTCATAGTTGTGCATTGTGTGTGTGTGTGTGTGTGTGTGTGTGTGTGTGTGTGTGTGTGTGTGTGTGTGTGTGTGTGTGTGTGTGTGTGTTACTTTAGAATGGCAGTGAATGGTAGAAACAACAGAGAGAAAAACAAATTCCAACCATTGCATCATACTGCTCGTCTTCACCCACAAACATGTACTAGTTTCACTTCAACAAGCCTACTTTAGATGCTTTACTGCGTTTGAAGTCATCAGCAACACTGGAACTTCAGTTTCTTTTACTCTGGCTGACTCTGCTCTAAATTCTTCCTATATAGACGTTGACAGGATGTCCCACATTGAGCGCTCAGACAGAGTCGGTCGGCAGGGGCAGCGGCGTAAACAGCACCGCTGGAGTGCACCAGATCACTTCCACAATGATGGCAGGTTGGTTTGGCTAGAAAGAATACAAAATGTTGCCATGTAGAAATGAAAAAAGTAAAAACACTACAAATGCAGCATCATTCAGTTTGATATGTGATGGTCTCGCTCTCTGGCTGTTTGTCTTTTTCTCAGGGCTCATGTCTTCCAGCACTATGATGGACTCAAATCTTCAAGGGTCTCCTCACGGCCCGCCCCCTCTGAAGGCAGGCAGCGTGGCTACATGGCAATGCTGGATGAACTCACGCTCGAGCACATGACTCAAGATTGTAGCTCGCTCAAGAACCAGCTGCTCAGGCTCAAAACATTACTGAAGGTTTGTCCCACATCTGCAAAAAGACATGCATAAACACAAACGTGTACGCTTGCACATACCAAAATATGCACACACTTACACATACAGTTCATATCCACATACAGTACTAGAAGACAGCAACACATTCAGTTCATATTGTTGATAGATACATGCACACAAATGCACATGTGTTAGTATGCACCACCCAGTGGCAGAAAACATGACATGTTTGTCATCCTTATAATGCTATTGCATCACCCTTTCAATATGTCACACTCAAATTATATGTAGATCATGTCACCAATCCAGCTTTTATTTTGGTAGTATAATTAGGCCACATGGTTTGAATTTTATTCTGAAACAGGAGACGGCTAAGTACAATGATAAATATTTTCTGACAAAGCTGAACTAAGCTAGTTTTAATTCTTAATATGGTCGCACTTTAAGTATTTAAAAGCTTTTAAATGTTTAATTACATTGGTTTAATAAATCTTTTCATCATACAGTGTTGTTGCCCAGTACATAGATACTGGATAGACTATGTCAAGAAGTCTTTCTTGTGGTTTTAATATACTGTACCAGTCTAACAGCAGTTTTTGTATTAAATGCCCTGGGCCTTCTTCTCTTCCTGTGTACAGTATTCAGAAATTTGTGCTTGCATGTTTGCATGTATTTATCCATGCTTGTGTGAAACTGACCACTTAATAGATCCATCTCTGTCAGTAGGCGAAATCGACAGGGAACAGGGAAAGAGAAGAGAGAAATAAAAGATGTCAGCCTTAGAAGTGTGTACTTAAATAAAAGATGAACACACAAAAAACCCACCCTCCTTAAAATCACACAACCCCATTTAGGCAATCGCAGATATGCACAAAAGCACTTCACACGGCACACTCTGTAAGGAGAAATGATCTTGAATGACTTGACTCAATTTACCCTCTTCAGCATAAAAAGTGATATTTGCATTTGCGTTTAAATCAAATGTCTCCTTAATCTGTGTTCATTGTGTTCAGTGCAATTAGTCAGATGCTTTGGCTGTATAGCCTGAAGAAGGAAAATATTTCTGTTGGCTCATTAGTAACCCTGTTCTTAATTGTGTTTTTTTTTTATTATGATGTGGAACTCAAGACAGTGACTGTAAAATGAGCCTTCAGCATTGCTGAATCCTAATTGATCTTTGCTTTATTGTGCAAACAGTCAGACATGCAGCACAACTGTTTTGTGCTTGTTGATTCTGGATTAGTCTAAGTGACCTGAATGAGGAGCAGGAAGAATGCAGTGACCCTCAAGTAGATGACTGACAGAATTTTTAACAATGCTCTGATAATTAATAAAATAGTCATTTTCCTAAAAATGACTATTTTATTGATTTTATAATAAAACAGTAAAAACTAAAAAATAAGTAAATAAATAAATAAATATATAATTGCAAGACATAACCTGGTATAACCATGAAATTTTCTTCATTTCATCATACTTAATTAAACTTTAATTGGAAAAGTAATCAGAGAATTTAATTGGAGTGTTGCTTTGAATATTCAAGATGAAATCTTGACCTGCTTTGAGGAAAAAAAGGCACACGTACAGGACTTATTTAAGTATCTTTAAAGTTAGGACATTTTTTGTTCTAGATCAATGTATTGAAGGTTCAAAAATTTCCTCAGCAGCTCTGCCGCAGGTATCTAACATTGGTGGTTGACAGTTCAGGGTCAACAAAGTATATATGCTAGAGAGCAAAATTATTCCACCACAGCGAAATATTGCTCTTGCGGCATGCCTAAGGCAATTGTCATTGATCCAGCTCACTGTGTACTCTCTGTCTGTGTTTGCCCACTGCTGTATGTGTGTGTGTGTGTGTGTGTGTGTGTTTTGTTTGTTTCCAGCTTGAGGATACAGACTCTCCAGCAGATCCTCCTGAGGAGATTGAAGACAATACCACTGCATCACAAGTAAGTAACTTTACAGCGGTGATTGATTGGCTATGCTGTATATATATATATTTGTATTTTTTTTCTCCAGTTTCCATCTTAGGTAGTCTGCTACCCCTACAGTAGACTGTATGTTTGTGTGTGCTTTCAGTTGGAAGAGCTGATTAAGGAAGTGCAGGTGCTCAGAGAGGAGCTGAGGAGTCGAGACAAGACCATTGCTCAGCTCACAGTGCAGTGTCAACAGCTACAACAACAACATCAGCGGGAACAAATGGTGAGCTGGTGTGAACAGGAGTAATACAAGTGAAAAGTCTGAAAAAGGGGATTGTGTACAATAAAGGGGATATACAGTTTCTAGAAATACATTGTAGCCCTGTCTTATGTTTGGGAACCTGCACTAGACAGTTGATCTTTTTTTTATATATAATTGCGAATGTCCATGACTTGACTGACTTACTGAGTGACTGAGTGAGTGATAGAGTTGAATGGTCATAGTTCCACCATTGGTCAAATGCCATGTGACTGATTTGGAGTTTCCCCATTGGCCAATACTCTTTCAAAATAAATTGGTGCTAGCAGTTTCTGTTAGAGGGTTGTTTACAGCCTGCAGTGTTGCCAACTTAGTGCATTTGTTGCTAGATTTGGTGACTTTTTTTTTTTTTAAAAGCACAGAGCGACAAATCTAGAAACTTTTTGGACAAAACTTGGTTAAAAGAGTTGCCAGTACTGCCCTCTCTCTGTGTCCATTCTGTTCAGTGAGTGACAGAGAGGCGGAGCAGCAGTTTGTTACCCAGACGGAGGCTGTGCGCTGTGTGAGAGACCAGATACAAAAGATATTCTGTCACTTGTAATTTTCTCTCTGAGAAAGTAAATATGTTGGAATCACAGCACAGTCTTTGTCTTTAATTTATGCTGTTATAAAATCAGGATTTTAGCAGTGCGGAGCAGTATCTTGGAAATGGCTTGGAAGTTAACATGTAGTCTTACTGGGCTGTGTTTCAGTCCCTATTTCAAATTATTGTTCAGCTGTCTGACAACATAAACAGAAAAACATGTAAATGAGAACAGCTTTATTTGAAATTCAGCTGTATTATAATACTGTATATAATAGTAATATGACAATAATAATGTCAGTTGTTTACAGCAGAGAGTTTTCAACTACATCCTAAATTTCGCTCATTGACATTACATGGTCCAGTCATACTAGATTTTGATGTAGTCTTGTGTGTGTATGAGAGTCATTTCTGCTGTTGATGTCTGTTGTTTTTTGTTTCAACAGTACAAGTGCTTTTTAGCACAAATTTGCTCTTAAGGGCTGTTGTCAATGAGCTCAAGGGTAGAGCAAATAGCAACATCCTCTTTATGATATAAAGTACAGGTTGGAAATGTATACATTTTGAGAAACTTTCCATAGGAAGTACCTCTGGAAATAGTCGTAACTATGATAACTCTCATCAAGTAATGGATCAAGGCCCATACACTGTGAATGTCAGCGGAACATGTAGAATATCAACACAGGCTCATCTTCAGTTGAGTATTGCAGGATCTAGGTTTGTATCCTTTGAGCGTTCACAAACAGGGCTGTAATGGCTCCAGTGTTCATGTTTGCTGATTGCTTTCATGTAGCTCTCAGGTGCAGCAAGCATGAAGCATCTCTTCTGGTAGTTCATCTCCTTGGCACCAATTCCCGTGACAGATCTGAGATAGTTGTCTGGCCACAACTACCTCCTTCCATTATCTTTTGTTTACACCAATTCCAGGTTTATCAGATTTTACAAAGCGAAAGCAGGAGTAGAATGAAGAAGGGGCATAATCACCCTGTGCTTTGTGGCACATTGAAGAAAGTGAGGGACTGATGAAAACAGTAGGGAAGACAACTGATATATGTCTACATCCACCATTCAGCTTTCTAGTGGTCAGTGAAGACTAACTGTAGTACACTTCATCGTAGGTGGGAGTTCAGTTCCTGAAGGGTATGTTGCTGGACTCCAACATGCACTCTAGTGTGTGTGCTTGCACAATTACGATTGCCTACCAATAACCTTCATTCTGTTCGCTTTTAACTGGCTCCATCTTCACTCCAACATACATCAATTTCTTGAGCAGGATCCCTTGTTAGCCAAACACGCCTGGTATGCCTGGCTGACATTATTCAAATCCCCGCTGTATGGAGAAATACCAAGATGTCAAAGCTAGGCCTGTCCTCCAGCCTCCCTGCTGCATACTACCCCTCCAATTAGAATTAGCACCCACCCACAGTAGGTTTCTTAGTCCAGTGCTATATTGTTACACGCTCACCTTCAACAAGCAAAGAGAGTAAGAAAAAGGTAGAACATATTTTCTGATCCGTGCCTGACATTAATGAGCGTAGAGGCTGGAAGAGTAAAGATGTTGGGGGAAGTAGAGAGAAGATAAGGGAGACAGAGATATTTACTCCGCTGACTCTGTGTTGATGCTCTATGTGGGCACCCGAAGGTAGGTTATATTGGATATCGTATTCTGTTTGTGTTCTCATGGCCTCTGGTGTCCCTGCAGTACAGTTGAACAGCAATGAAGCCAAATAAACTATCACATAAGGCTTAGATCATGAATTGTTTTTGGTTGTGAGAAAATAGCAGTTAGAACAAAATTGGTCTGTGAAGATTTCCTGTTATCTGGGTCATATGATATCTTGAAGTCGAAAGGCAAAGATTTACTGGACTTGCTGTCTGTCCTTGAAATTGATTTTCAGGAAGATAATATTACTTTTGGTAAAGATTCAGGTAAACAAGGAAGTGTGAAGTGTTCCAGAGAACCTCTGAGAGACAGAAGGGGGGAACAGTTGACTGAATTGAACATAATCGAGTAATGAGAAAACAATAGAAGAGCTGTGTTTGTGGTTGGGAGAAAGTATACAGTGTGTGTGTGTGGGGGGGGGGGGGGGGGTGAGATTGCAGGGCTGAGAGCAGAGAATGGGAGAGAAAATGAAATAATGGGAGAGAGAAAACTTGAGCTATCAAAGATAGAAAGTTGATTTCTCGGTCCTACTTGACAGAATGAAGTTTTGGATGCTGCTTGCACCGCTGCTGAGGCAGACTGCTCATGATTATACACTCTTCTTGTTTGAGCAGCATTGAAGTTTCCACCAAGGCTGGCAAAAACTAGCAATTTCTGTTGGATTCTGCCATAGTCTTTGCAGCCAAGTACAAGTTGCGCTGCTATTTATTCACATATAAGAGAGACAAAGTGACATATAGTATTAAAGCTTACAGAATGATTTAGTGCACGTCATTAGTTGCTCTGATATTCTTTTTCACTTTTGGATTAAGTTTGAGTTTAAAAAAGACGAGTGAGTCAAAGTGGTCGGTAAGGAAACATTTAAACTGATGAAAAATGAGGTTATATTGAGTGAAGATGTGTGTAAAGTAAAAGTCAGTAAGTCCAATTTACTGCAGGATTTTTCAATTATCACATAAAGGTAATTCCAGCCATTTACAACCTGGGCTTGATTTTCTCTGATTTGGCAATCATGCCTGTCAGTTCTAATCAAAGCTGTGATAGTCTGCTGTCTCACAGTTTTCCTCCACATTTGAATCATAGATGATATTACATCACTCCTGCTTGAAAAGATTAATTAAATTTGAAATGCCACCAGTTTTATTCGTTTATTTAATTATTTTTGTTAAAGTGACTATAAATGATATTTTTAAGTTTTTATTCCCTATGACAACCATGTGGGTGCTTTCCCTGCTGTCTTTACTGCTTCAGTTCTACACGTTGACAACTGGTAAATGCGAGATATTAAACCCAACAAAGAATTCTCACAGATCTTACTTGAATTACAAATTTCATGATTTTGTCTGTTCCTATTGTAAATAACTAAGCCACTTGTGATTTAAAAGTTGAATCAAAGGTCTAATTGCACTGTGGTTGGTGTATTGAGAGGGGAATTTTTTTTTTGTTTCCGTTGCTGTGTTTTCATTGGATTTGACTGCTCTACAGAGTGACAAGCTATTAACTAGCATGACAGGGGAAGAGGAAAAAGAAGCAGCCCAGGTTAAATATAAAATAAAAGGTACAACACTCTGTTATTGTGTTATTGTGAATTCTTTCATTGATTCATTTATTCTTGCCCCCGCAGCCTGCTCAAGGACGTCAGGTCAGGTGTCAGTGCCACCACCAGAGGTCTCTCTCTTCACTACGTCAGAGTGACAGACAGATGGACAGACGGATGCAGCATCACTATGACAAGGCCACCCAGACATACTGGAGACCACCCAGCCACGCTGTGAGTCCAAACATTCGTTGCACCGATAACAGCATCCCGTAAGAAGTGCACTCTTTCAGCCTTTGTATTGCAGAGCAGGATTTTTAAAATCTGAAAATGGTCAAGCATAAAATGTGTGGGTTTCACCTTATTTCAGCAATGATCATGATCTTACTGTATATCAGCGCTTGCCTGGTGCAGTAGTGCACATCACAGCTTAACATTCACGTCAGGATGCACTGGTGACCAGCACATGTGCAGTATGTTGCTGAATAGGAGAAAGAAGATACGATATTCCCTTGCCTCTGCATGGAAATGTTAAACTTAAATGCCAACAGTTTATGAATATAAATCAGCCAAATGCAGAAGATATTGCTCATCTTTTGTTCAAGAGTTTGTAACTGATCATTTAAAATTTTTATGATCTTTGACAACCATGTGGGTGTTTTTTTTGTTTCATGATTATGATTTAAAAGTGGAATCCAGGTTGGTCTGATTTCACTATGGGTGTTGTATTGAGAGGGGCACACATTCAGAACCTTTTGTTTTTGCCTTTTTGTGTTTCCCTTGATTGGATTTGACTGTTTTACAGAGTGACAAGCTTTTAACCAGCATGATAGGGGAAACAGGAAAAGCAGCCCAGGTTAAAGATAAAATAAATGATACAATATTCTGTTATTGTGTAATAAGCTATCTGCTGCCTCTCTCTCTGGCCAGCCATGTCTGAAATGTTAGATGACTACACCCTGCCATCTCTATAGAATACAGTTTATTAGCTTGTCAGTGGGCTTGTCTCCCTGTCTCACACACTTAAAACCCAGCTCTTACACTGAACAGGGATCTGCGAGGCTGGTGTTAATGTATGTGATGGAGGAAGAGAAAATGTACAGTAGAGTAGGGCAGGGTGGGAGGAAAAGAGAGAAATATTCATGGGTGGAAAGAAGCAGACGGAGAGAGAGAAAGGTGGAAGATTGATGGATAGGTGTTCAGTGTGTATCATGCCACAATAGCACGCTGTGTGGCAGCCAAGTATTGATTCAATAGCAGGAGTGCCACAGGCAGGGTGCCTAGTAAACACTCCCCTAATTGACCTGCTTTTAGCTAAAAGGGTGACACACACACACGCTCCCGCACAAAAAGGCAGAAATAAACAGTATAAGGAGATTACATCGAGAAAAGATTAGAATAAAGAAAAAAAAAGATACCAAAAAGATGTGTTTTTGTATCTCTTTATTGGTAATAATAAATAATAGAATTGAGGCCCAGCAGTAGGCTGCTGAACACTGTCGGAAGTATTCTGTAAAAACTAGGCTACAGGCTAGAGAGGGAAAAATAAAGGACAAAACAAGCAAGCTCAATAACTACAGTAGATCCCTGCTTAACACAAAAGCATATGGTTTAACAGTTGCTATGGCAACTATCAAACCGGAGCTCGCTGTTCTCGGTGGGAATCATCTCCATGTCGGGAACATCTGTCTGTGACATGGAGTATCTAGTGTATAATAACACACTAAAACACAAAACAGAGCAGTGGAGTGATCAAGTTTCACGATTGGTCAGCTGGCTGAGGGTTGGAGTTTCCACGTTGGTCGTTGCTCTTTCAAAAATGATTTTGTGCAAACAAGCAGTGTTGCCAATTTAGTGCATTTGTCGCCAGATTAACCGACTTTTCTAAACGCTTGAGCAACTTTTTTTTGTTTGTTTTTTCAAAAAAGCAACTGTTGACAAATCTAAAGACTTTCTCTCTGCGTCTACTCTGTTCAGTGAGTGGCAGAGGTTGCGGAGCAACAGTTTGTGACCCAGACGGAGGCTCTGCGCTGTGTGAGAAACAAAATATGAAATTCCGTCGCTTCTGACTTTCTCTTGAACATGGCATAATGTTATGCTGCCTCTAGGTCTCAACAAATTCTGATGGGTGTCTTCACGGAAAATACTATTGTCTAATAAACGCTGCACTCTGTGCATTTCTGTCACTTGTAACTGCAATTTTGACATTATGTCAATGTGGTGGCGCTATATCGTAAACAGCACAGCGCACCAGGAAAGGTGCTGCCAAAACTCACAAAGGAAGAAAAGAGCTGAATCTTTCCTCAAGGAATTTCCTCCGAAGAACATCTGTATATTTAGATTCCGGTGCCCTAATAGTTTATGGCTGTTCAAACAGGTGAATATTATTTCTTTTGCTTCCAGGCACGATTTTAACACCACATTTTATTAATCTTATTTAAACTATAAATCCTACTTACACCTGGAATAATTAAAGTTTGTGTATTTCAGATATTACACGGCTGACACTAGGCAGAATGCAAATATGATGCAATGACGTCAGTTCTTTCCAGCGGTCTGCGGTCCAGCCATATACTATGTTTTATCTAGTCTTGTTTCTTATTCTTCAGTATACTCCTGTTTTTAGACATTTCTTTATTTGCCGTGCTCCCTTTCCTCTTCCTTTTAATCTACATTGCTATTTCATCACTGCAGTGGAAACTATTTCCTGCACTGTGTTTTGCAGCATTGTGGGGACAAACACATTATGTTAGTGACATTTAACTTTTTGGAGCATGCAGTTCCTCTAAAATGTTACCTGTGAGTTTTGTGTTGTGTTTTTTTTTTTTTTTTTTTTTTTTTTTTTTTTTGACAAGATAACAGGAAAAGAGAGCACAGAGTAAACAAATAACAGAGAAACGGACGTTTCTTTCTCCATCTTTCTTGCTTTTAGATGGCATCCAAGCTCTTGGTATCACACTGACAGTTTTAGCACCTTCAACTAGCTTGGGTTCACATTGTTCCTCACACAATGCTTCACTTCTATCTGTCATGTTTTTTACACAATCTTTCAAAGTGTTTTCTCTTTTTACTTTGCCTCTCTGACAACAGTAACCCTTGCCATTTCTTACACTAGTATCACACTTTCATTGCGTCCTACTCCTCTTATCTAAATTATTTCACTTTTCAGTAGTAACCCTCCAACACACACACACACACACACACACACACACACACACACACACACACACACACACACACAAATGCATAAAGTGATGTCATCTTCATTGTTTTTTACTTCTTGCTCTCTTCTGTTGATTTTCCTCTCTTCTGACAATTACTGTGCCGCTGTATCACAGCAGTTGAGTAGCTCTTTCCCTCTGATAGTATTTTTGAGCACTAAGCCAAGCTGGAAGGATCAGTGTCGAATAATACTGATGTCAAAGGCCATAAGCTGTAATCTTTTTATAGCTTTAATGCTGATATCAAGTTGCCTTATCAGTAGCCCAGAGGGTAAAATGTACAGCCCGGTGCTGGAAGAACTAGAGTCGAGCCCTGCCAACAACTTGCCACCTCACTGTGCTTTAAACTGAAGAGTTTAACAAAAGAATAAGCTCATGGCTTATGACCTTCTGATATGGATATTTAAGAACATTTACTTTTTGGTGTATAGATCATTATACATGTAGCATCTTCAGGCATCTGATGTATTCTCTTTTGCTTTGTAAGCTGCTTTAATCAATTTCACTGTTTGTGGAGAGCAGGGATGTTCTTGTCTCCTAGCTTCTTCACAGTCTGTAGGAAAGCCTTGGCAACATATCCCAACCAACTGCTTTGGACACCAGCTCCCGCAGCTTCCCTTTTTAATCTGCTTACAATCCGATTTTGAGTCCAAAAAGCGTACTCAGGAAAAAAGAAAAGTCTCATAATATGGTTTGAGTATATGACTGTCAATGTGCAAGGTGCAGACAAATATTGGACACACTTGTCGCAGCAAGACGTACATGTAGTGTGACATAAGAAACTACCTAAATGTCACTTGTAGAAAAATAATCTTCTTGAAAAGCTCCCCGGAGCAATCACAGCAGCAGAAATGTTTTTTGTACTTCCTCCGCCGCTCACAGCAAATAAAATATGAGCAATACGATTTAGTAATTTCAGACATAGCACAATAGAAAAATATGCAGCCTTGTGTTTGTGTGTATCTGTTTGTGTTTCTTGTGTGTGTGTGTGTGTGTGTGTGTGTGTGTGTGTGTGTGTGTGTGTGTGTGTGTGTGTGTGTGGGATGTGCCACATGTATCTCTGGTATTTGTGTGCGGGGCACACTCAGTGTGACTGAACAATGAGTTCAGCAGACTGAGGACTGGGGAGCCGACCTTGTTAATAACCCAGATAAACAAACATGCAGATGAGCAGCAGCAGTGAAACAATGGCAACACAATAGGCAGTGTTTCATCAGTGGCAGACAGAGAGGATAATTACAGCTACCCTCCCACTCCCTCTTTGCCTTTTAAACATCCTCTTCTTCGTCTCTTCTTGTCTTCTTGCACATCCCTTTATGTCTTTTTTATCACCCCTGCTCTGTCACTACTTTTTTCTTTCTTGCTTGCTTCAGCGATGCTTTTGTTTCCCTGTATCTTTGTCTTTCTTTCTTTGACATTACCTCTCTGCTTTTTACCTCACTTGTGATTAGATCAATTTGCTCTCACAGAGAGAGAGAGAGAAGAAGAGAGAGAGAGGGGAGGATAGGGGAGAGAGAGGCAGGAGGATTGAACAGATCCTCTCAGATCCTGACATTGCTTCTCCACCCACATCCCCTGCTGTCTGCCCCCTTGCATCACAGGCACGCCATCACAAATGCACACACACACCTACTTACAAACGCACACACTCATTAACACACACTCACACAGCTGAGTCATCTTGGACAGGTGAGGATTTAATTTGCCAAACACAGTGAAGTAAGACATTGTGGCCTGACCTGAGGTATTAGCTGCAGGCAACCTAAAGCAGCTCTGTGTGGCAGATTAGGGGATTGAAGCAGAGAGAGGCCGTTTCAGGGACACAGCATCATGCTTTCTTCTAAATACTGTTGTCATTTGATGTTGAGTTTCACCACCACCAAGCTCTTTTGCCACATGCAAGTCTTTAAGCCCTAAAAAATACAAACCAAAATAAATAAATAAATAAATAAATAACGCTTTTGGTAACACGCATGATCCTGGTCTCTTCTGAATTGCAACTCTATGGAGTAATACAGTCAAAAAGGTACTCAAAAAGTACTGTAAACTGGCACAAACATGCTAATGTAGGGTTATTATCTCTCTTTAAAAAAAAAAAAAATCACAGTCCTCTCCCGAATGCTCTTTTATTATAAATACAAAGACAACTACTGTCACAGTCACATTGGGTTCTTAAATTGCTTTACACTGATAAAATCTTGTGGCTTTGTGCTTTTACATAAATGTGAAGTTTGATCATAGATTTAACTGGATTCCGCTTGTTAAGAAGTTGAACATACATACATATATATCTTATTTATTCTCACTGCAAACTCTAACTGGTTTAAGGTATCCTTGCTGTACAGGCCTGACCAATCAGAAAGAGTTGTGAGTGCAGCAACAAAGAAGAGAACACTCATTTGCTTTTCACTCCTGAACAGTTTTGTTTGTTGAGAAAACCAAGCAGGAACTACCACTACCAGGTATTGAACCCAAGGTCTCTGTGCTGGTGGGCGAATAATAAAAGAAGTTTTGATTAAATTGATGGAATATGAAAAAACTTTTATATGTTCCCAATTTCTGTCTCCCTGCCCTTGTGAAGCTCTGTTAGCCCTTCATTGGAGAGCCTTTACAGCAATGGAAGAACTGTAAAAAATTGACAGGCTAAGCTGCTGCGGAGGTCTAATAAAGCTGCCAGACACTGTCAGGATAATTCAAGAGCCCTCCAACACGCCCACTTGTTCTCATTGCCGAAGGTTTTCCTCTCTGCAAATGAAGCCTCAACGGGAGGCTTCTGCTGAGACCTCCTGCTGAAACAGTTGTTGGTGTTCAAGGAAGGACATGGACGAGAGCAGATCAGTGGAACTCATTCCTCTCTCCTCAAGCAGTCGCACTAGGAGGGCTCTAAAACAGCCTGGGCTGGACCTGCTGGGAAGTTGATACCTTCCCCTTTTTGTCTTTTATGTCTCTCTGTTTCTTCTTCCCCCTGACAGATTCAGTGCCTCTCTTTTCTCTATTAGAGTTGAATTTGAGAGGCGGCCCTCACCGCGTCTGAAGAAAGAAGTAGCATTTCAGTAGGTTTTAGTCTGTCTGTCTGCTTCACTTGATGGCCCTGCTGCTCCTTTACTTTGACTCTCCCAATCAGGGCCAGGGATCTTTGTATTGCTTAACCTGAAGATAGATGTTTGTGTGCACAATCACAGATGCTGGTTAAACAAAGTGTTCACACAGAAATGCTCTGTTTTGTTAGTAGTCACAATGAGTCACACAAACAGAGCCATCAGTCAGATTGTGCTTCAGTTAAACGCTGAAATTACCCTACGACGGATTTTACACTTTCTGTAATTACTTATACTGTAACCGCAGATTTATCATCCTCGTCTTACTGTGTAACCTAAGACCTCAGACCGCATATTAGATGTACATCAAATTCACAACCAGTGATGGTGAACCCCCCCCAAAAACCACTTCCTCTCCCAGCATATAAAATCCTGTCAGCTTTCACAGAGATGGGTGGAAAAGTTGTTTGGTAGTATTTTGGTATTTTAACTTTCTGGTATCAATTTGTTTTTGGCCATGCCTATGATGGAGTGCTCTACAATAGAGTGTAGGCCAGCCACTCGGGAAGGTGCTAATGGATTTGATTTATGTAAAAAAAAGTATAACAATTACACAGTAGAGGGAAAAACGGTTTCCACAGTGGCCTAGGGAGAAACAACATAAAGGCGATTGGAAGTCTCCAGGTAGCAGATGTTTTATAGGATAATGAGTATACTTTAATATTGTGCCAAACAAAGTGAGAAAATAATCTCCTGGGTTTTAGAAACTCTAAATTAGCAAATATACTCATTATAATGGCAGAAGGTATGGAAAGCAGTGTTTTGCTTCATGTTCATATTTGGATACTGAACAATTCCCCAATAACAGTCTCATACAGTTACTGGTGGAAAACTTATAAGTGTCTTTTTTGTGGGCGGGTGTGTTTGTGTTGAACATTTCTAGGTACCATGCTATTTTAACCTCTCTCAGTACATTTGTAGTTTGAAGTCTGTGTCCAGATCTTTGCAACAGACCTGAAGGAATGACACTTTTAACACTGACATGGTGTAACAGTCTCTGTGCATCAGTGTGCGTGTGCATGTTTCCCTATGTACGCTTTCGCGTGCTGCGTTAATTGGCATATCCATACTCATTAACACTGTGTTCATGCTTGTGAGCGTGTTTTTACCATGTGAGCTTGCGTGTGTGTGTGTGTGTGTGTGTGTGTGTGTGTGTGTGTGTGTGTGTGTGTGTGTGTGTGTGTGTGTGTGTGTTCTGGTACGTCATGCCTTTTGTCCTTTGTGTTTTTCTCTGCATAGGGTGTGCTGCCCACCCCGCTGCTGTCCCCGTGGCAGGCACAGCACCAGGGCTTGACCCGTACCAGCATGCCCCAGCGCAGACAGAGTGAGTCACTAACATCCTTTGCTGCCTCATCTCCATCTTTTCATAACACAACATATCCAGGGGTCTGTAAATAGCCTGAAAAAGTTTGACTGTATCTCCAATTAAACCCCTCTAAACCACTGAGATCTCTTTGTTCCAGTTCGCAGCAGTGTTTTTTCACTGCACAATTACAGGACCGTTTGTGCTGTATGTTTACTTTCAGATTAATTTGGAACAAGATTAATAACATGCAAAGTAGTTTTTCTTGTTTGTTTTACTAAAAGCAGTCTGACTTCTTGTCCATTAAGAATTAATTTTCTGGTGTATTTTTCCTGCGCTCCCCATAAAAATTTCAGTTCCCCTTTATTAGCTGTTTTCAGACAGAAGCAGCTAAGTTTGGTGACTTCCTCAAACTTCCCTCAGACATTAATTTAAAAATCATATATCCTCCAGTGGTAATAGTGGAAATATATAATGGAAATAAGGAATATTATTGTCCTCCTATCAGAGGATGTGTCTTCTGTTCTTGAACAAATAGTACACATGACCATAACATAATCTTTGCTTTGGCTTTAAAAATTCATTTTGCAACATTTCTCAATCAACTAAAACAGTTTGATGTCATTGAGAAGAAGATGGGATTGCAGAAACATGACAGTTCAGTGAGAACAACCTCACCTATCTCAGTGAATCCCACAACAAAGCTTTTGTATTATGTAGTGCTGATGAGGTGGCAAGTAGAGGAGCCAGATAAAGAGCATGACAAACAGTAAAGAGACTTCAGAAAATGCACATATGTGAGAGAGTGAAGATCAAAAATAAAGAAGCAAACCCACGCTGTGTTCTTTTGAGCTATCCCGGTGGGGATTCGCTTTGCATCAAGAAGGAAGGTGAAAAGTGGCACAGGTGTTATTTTTTTTGTATCTCAGGTTATTTCAATATCAAGTGCACTCATGTTTATAGACTGTTTTGACAGATACTGTATGTGAGTACGACCCAGCATTCAGTCAGCGTGCATTTTCTCCTACCAGTATAGTTTGGTCTAATTAAGCCAAACACAAAAGTATCAAAAGAAGATCTGTACAGTGGGAGGAAAAGAGTAGGAGGTAAGAGGTAATGACACTAGCATGCTAGAATATAGTTGGTATGCAGTCATATTTAGATATAAGATGAGAAGCAATGGAGGGTTGGAAAACAAGTGTAGTTTTGTTTCACTGGATAAACCACTAATGGTCTGACCCCCCATAGGGAGCTCCGGCTGTAAACAAACTAGCAAAGAGCTCTTGCCGGCAATTAAGGTCTTCAAAAATAGAAATTGCCCATTCTCAAATTTTAGAAGAAATTGGACTCTTCACACGAGTCTCATTGAATGGAGGCAGCGATAATTATATTTTGTATTAAATTGGTTTGTTTGTTGAACTAATGTGTGACCTTTTCCCTGGGCATGGGCTGCGTATTAATTCTGGATTTTTAAATTTCTTAACCCCATGTTTTACATGTCTGTACCCACCTCCTCCCATCCCTGTCTTTTAACCCGTTTCTCTCTTCATCTCATCTCTGTGCACAGTCACTCAAACAAAACCTGAAAATGAATCTCCCATGTTCTTCTTCTACATTTGCCTCCCCACATGTAATGCCTATGGCAAGGAGTGGAGCACCTAGTGCAGTACTTCACTGACACAGCGTGGTACAGTAATCCTTTCTTTAACATGAAGTCAACATGCTGCCCCCACTGACCCCAGCTCTTGCACGCTGAGCTGCGGTTTGGTGTCACATGGGAAGAGAGAAGCATGCCCTTTTACATCTGTGTTTGCATGCTCTGCATTGGGTTTTCAGTTTTTAATTTGTGTATTCCTTCGTGGATCTTCGCTCTGCTCTTCTTAAAGAATGAGAGTTTCACAAAGATACTGTTTTAGTTGTGATCTTTCTTTTTCATATTTAATTTACCTGCCATTCTTTGTTGGATTTTGAAAATAGTTAAATGTTGTTATGGTGCTCAGGTTATTCTCTGTTTTACATTGGTGTCTTTTTCATTTGTCCCATCCAAAACCAATTACATATATTGCAAGTGTTATGCATGCATTGGTAAATCTCTCTGTGTGGATTTGGTTTACTATATTTTATTGATTGAACGGATGCTTTATAATTCACAGTCCCCACCTTGAAAGACTTGGATGAAGTGTATTGAAAGGAGTAACGTTTAAGAATAACCTTGTGATATTGCATATGAATGCATATTACTGCTGTCCTGTGTGATCGCCTTCATTTTAACTTCAATATCAAAGGCATTTAAGCACAGCAAGCAAAGACAAGTAATTTCACATCCTCTGCTGTCACATTCTTTCTGCCATTTGATTTCAAACACAATCCAAATTGCCATTCTCACAACCACCTATATTAAATGATAGTATGAAGTCTAATATGGCTTTGAAATGAAGTGCCACCATATTGCCGCTCTCATCTGCTTATGTGCTGAACTCCCATTGTCTTCCTTCAGGAATTAAGGGGATTATTTACATGTTATTAGCATCTTATTTATATTCCTGCATGTTGCTTTTCTAATCACATACCATTTTTCATGGTGAGAGAGGCTGCAGCTGAGGATGGCTATGGTGGACCCTGACATCTCCAACGTGCCTCAAATTGGCACATTTCTTTGTTAGACTGGTGATTTTCTGTTAAAATGATAGCCGTCATTACAGAGCTGAGATGTTTACGTCTTGGCAGTGCAGTGAAGAGCTCAAAGTGATTGCTGGTAATTATTAGTGTCTGTAGCAGACAGCTGTAGATGCAAATATTTATATATATATAAATATATATGTGCTACACGTCGCTGTCACTGGCTTCTTCCAAATGGGCCAGCTATACATTTATGCATTCATTGCAAGCCTCGCAATAAGTGTCACATATGTTTAATTTTTTTTTATGACAATGGATGTTTCAGTCTATATTTTTACCATGAACGGCACTGGAAAATTTACAAGGCCTCAGTGTGTTCTGTTGTGTTGTGAATGAGAAGGGAACAAAACAGGAAATGAGATCATATTAATAATGCCATTCAGCTTTTTTATGATTCATTTTGATGATTAACTTTGGTGACATAAACTGTAATTTTTGTATTTTGTTTCAAGCAGTGGGATTCAGAGGGGAGTGCTCTCTCTCAGACTGAATCATGATAGTGATAGAGTGAGACATATGACACAGCTAAATGAAAGACTTAATAACATGCTCATGCTTGGATTGGCAGACTAATCAGAGCTATTGTAAGAAGCAACAAAAACATTCTTTATTTAGGAGTTTTCAAATTATAAACTTTGAAATCTAAAATCATTATTTACTATCTTGAAAAACATGTAACAAGAAACTGAGCCTGAGAGATGGACGAGGGTTTTATAAGAGGATAATGGACGCATTGTGGCAGGGGACCAGGAGATGGAGCTGTGGCCTCGGACATCTACTCCCACTCGCAATACAAATGACCGATGGTAGAAGCAGGCAGAGCTGCCTGACCTGCACAGCTATACTGTGTATTCACATCCTCTGAGAGTCTATGTTTCTGATGAAATGAAGTTCATGCTTTTTAGCAGCTTCAGATGATCCCAGGTGGACTTAGATTCTTAAGGGTTCCGCTCAAAGAACATGAATAGAGAAAGCCAGTCCTCTAAATTCTGATGGTAAAAACTGACAGTGTTGCCATCAGTTTGCCTCAGAACAAGTCTCAAACAATATAGGCTAACAGAAGATATAAGATATTTTTTAGAGATGTTGAGGTCAATACACATTAAGAAAATTGACTCATATGATATTATAAGATATTCATATGAAGTTCAATATTAGCTTCTTTCCTGATCTGAGCAACTCTGTTCTTACTGGTGGTTGGATTGACCAATAAGTGCTCATGGCTGCTTATCTGGAAATGTGGTCAAGAATGGTTGTTGTAAAAAGGTTAAAGTTATCTTATGGTACAATACATCCTCTGGGAATATAGTGGTTCCTCCTGTAAAATGAAAATGATCTACATTTCTTTTTTTAAAGTGGAGTGGTGTAGATATATCATGAACAGTTGTACAGTCTAAACCAATTTAATACAGGAGTGTTGAAACAAATGCTAAGTCTAATGAGTTTTTGTTGAGTCTGTGTCACAGGGGTCACTCTCACAACAAATATGGAACATAATAAGTATCACTAAGAAAGTAATTGTTGCAGGGCTGTTAAAAGGCTTACATTAGATTGTACGGGTGCTAATGAATTTACGTGCATACAGTACCCTGAATGTCCCCTAGTGTAGGACAACACCATGGTTGGTCTAAATTTCATGTGGTTAACGGCTCAGCACGTTCTTGCAGAGACAGCAGGCATCTTAGCCCAGTGTGATTGTTTTGAAGCCGATCACAAAATGAATCAAAGACTTCAGTGGATTCCAGGCACTCTGCATGGCAAGGTTATTCTCCTCTGCTTGTTTTTAAGTGCTGAATCAGGGCTTCCTCTGTGACTTTGCCTCTCCCACTCCAGGAACAGTTCAGCAACTGGCTGTGGAAATAGGCCGTGATATTAAAGTGTTAATAAACAAGTCAAAATTTTCAGTTTGCTTTTTGATTCAGTAGTTCCTTTGCAGTTTCAAAATATTCAAAAGCCTGGATTCCATGGGGATCAAAGATACCAAAAAATGGGACATTTTTTAAAACCAGCCATTTCTGGGACATGATAAAACAACTGAGTCTTACCTCATTATGCACTGACTTCTCCGTGACTCTTTTATAGCAGTTTTTGTATATTATTGAAATATCTTTCTTTTTTTCTGCAGCCTCAAATACTACAGCCTTTCAACCCTTGCCTCAACGAGCACCTCCACCAGGGAAAAATAGTAAAAACTCCCCCCACCGAGGGCCACAGTGACCTGACAAGGGGAAGATCAGATGAAGGAACCCATAAAGATGCTGACCGTCCTCTTGAAGGCCTTATGGCAGATGTGTCCAGCCCAGCAGACCCCGACAAGCTGAGTCATCTCCTCAGCACCCACCTGCACTGCCTGGGCTCTGGGGCTCCACAGGGGGTTAAAGCTAGAGACAGCCCAGCGTCAGCAGCTCAGTCTGCAGCACAGCATGAGTGGAGAGCCCCTGCCGTGATGCTGCAGAACTCTTTCACTCCTAGATCTGCTGGTTCGTCTTGCCCTCGCATGCTGCAGCCTCCTCGCCTTCAAAAGCGTATCTCTCTCCCTGCACTCAAGCCAGGGGGCACTGGTGGCTTTGCCTCTCTGAAGCTGGGGTCCTCCTTAGGGCCTCTGACTAACCGGACCAAGCAGCTGCCCCCTCCGTCTAGAGGCCTTCCCTGCTTTAACGCTGGACCCCAGGTGCAGGCTCCGAGTCTACGTCGCACTTCACTGCTTCAGCCATGCAGAGCATCACACCCTTGCAGGGATACACAGTGCGCCAAGTCCAGCCTGGTGGAGCCTGACCAGGGGACGCTCAAAGACCCCGGGTCAGCCAAGATCCTTATCCCTTTGGGTCGATCATGTCTCCCCAAGCCAAAGATTCCCTGAGGAACTTAACTCCACCCATCAAAACCTAAAACTGGAATGACTCTGACATTGATATTTATTACCCCCCCCCCCCCAACCCCCCAGCCTATTTAAAAACAGTTTGCGTTGAAAGAACATACACAGAGTACATTAACCCATATGGACCATTCAGGGACTACCTGTGTCAGTGACTGCTGTACAGTATCATTTCTAACTGACTGACTGACTGATTGGAATATAATATGAAGCAGGATCATGATCTTCACAACAATCCACAGTGACAAAACATGTTGACTTAACTAGCTTTGCACATGCTCGTGAATGCTGCTGATGCAAGAAAAAAAGAGTATTTCCATTCAGAGAAGTCAGACTTTTGTTTTGTTTTGTAAAACCCGCTGGCTATTACCACATTTAAAGTCTAAGTTCACTCGTCCTTACACATCTGTGCCCTCCTGACACACAGGTGCGTTTGGTTTTAAACACTGAGGTGACATAAATGTGACTTTTGCTGTGTAATAGAAAGCCCAGGGGGGGATGGAGGCAGAAACAAGAAGTGAGAAATAAAGAAAAAAAAGAATAAAATAACAGTAGAAGTGAAATAGGGGCAAGAGGCTGAAAAGCAAATTCGTCAAAGCTCTCTGGAGCTGTCACTTCCATAATGAAAATATGTGTTTGTATAAATGAGTGTTTGTGAGAGAGAGAGGGAGATACAGAGAGGTGAGGGACAAAGAGCAAAGCAGCTCCACGCTGTAGATTTCTACATGTTTCTAGGTCAGCTTGCTAGGCTTACAATCCGAGTGAAACTTTGAACCCTTCACATATTAGCCGAAGGGGTCGCAAATGTTCTGTGTAAATGCAGCCCAGATGGAAATATCATGCTGGTGGCACAGGTATGATTAGGAAAAAACAGTAGTATGCAAGTGAGGAATTCGCTCTCATAATGTGGAAAAGAGCAGTGTAACAAAGCACTCACACACTTATGTGAGCTCAGGCACAATGTGGGCTCGCTTACAGCCATGCACAAACACACACAAAGTACTCGAACACTCTGAAGTGTCTGTTATTTTGGAGGTTACTTTGTGCATTTTTAGATAGAAAATAGTGAAGAGTAACAGGAAGTCTGACAAGAGAGCAGACAGCATGCAACAAAGCTAAATTAATACCTTACTGGATATCATAGTCCTTTAAAAGACAATCGCAACACACAAAAAAAAAAAAATGTGAGGAAATGTCACTTGTTTCCAGTGAAAATAATTTTGTTTCAGAAGTGCTGAGAACTGTCCATGTTGGTTTCATTAGCTGCCTCACCTTAAGACATCACGATTTGATGCAAGAATATTAAACAAGTCAAATTCAGGAGGGAAAGGTGAAACTTGATTTAAGAAAAGAGAATTTTGGAGCAAATTAAATAACTTGTTAAGAGGGACGTTTTTGCAATGCGCGCTGACCTCCTTGAACTATCTCCCTCAATAACCCACACATGGATATATCAGCTAACAGGGATTCATTAGACGTGGGAAGCTGCTGCCTGCTGAATGTGTGTGTGTGAGTGTGTGTTTGAGCTGTTGCCGTCCGTCCTCCCCCCCTGTCTCTCTCCTCCTCTCGCTCTCTTGCACATCTCTTTGGAAACATCAAAGGTATTAGCGTGGTATTTTCAGGTAGGGAGCCTTCGGGGCTTTAGAGGTGTTTCTCTGGGAGTTTTTGAGAATTGTGTTTATCTCTCCTTTGCGGAACCCTTTTGCAGTCAAACGTTCCCGAAATGTCCCCTAACGGAGAGCAGCAGTGTGTTAAAAAGGCCTTCTGACAGCAACTTTCCTCTCTTCTCTGTCACGCCGCGTGACCGCGTGGTGTACGCCTCTGGCACTGTCCGGTCTACTGCGTCCAATAATGCACCCTATATAGACAGAGTGAGACAGAGAGAGAGAGAGAGAGAGAGAGACACACACGCACACACACTCACATCACATGCATACACATAGACGCACATGTACAGGAACTCTGACAAAACTCAAAGAGACACAAACTCAGACAGAGCTCACACATCACGTCAGGCTTCCCAGTGGCCGCACGAGTGTGGCAACATGCACACACACGTTGAATTTTAAACCAAAGTGCATAAAAGTGTGTTAGTGTTGTTTTGGTAGCTCTCACAAAATGAGCTCTCCAAGTACACACTGATCCATCTGTCCGCTGTAGCTAAATAAAAATGGCTGATTCAGATTACCCTGGAAATAGGTAGAGGCTCGTGTGCGTGCGTTTCTGAGTGTGGATCCATGTGGCTGATAAAACATGTTTACCTGTTGGATGGCTCAACATTGTGCTGAAGCATCCAAGCAGTCAACAGCGCTCCGCGAAGCCAAGAAAAACTCATTTCTTTTAATGAAAACGGAAACTGGGACCGAAAGATACATACAGAGGATGGGAAAGATGCTCAGCTAGAGACAATAAGATGGAGCAGCAGGAAAGAGACAAGATTAAGAGATGTAGTGATGAAGTAGTGAAGGCGCGATGATCAAGATAAGCTGAATGTTTGTCTGTAAAATGTCATGAAGGTGTGAATGAGAGAGGGAGACGGAGGCCATAGCAGAGTTTGTTTGTGTGCACTGTTGTCCAGAGAATAGCCTGGTCCCCACAGCTGTGTCACTCACTGCTTAGTAATGCCAAACAGGAAATCAATGTTGCCTGCTGTGTGTTCGCCTGTTGATGTATGTTTATGTGTGTGTGTATGTGTCTGTGCGTGTGTGTGTGTAAATGAGCATCTCCAGCCACCTCTGGCTGCCAGTGTTTCATTCTTGGAAGAGTGTGTGTGAGTGTGAGAGTGAGAGAGAGAAAGAGAGTGAGAGAGAGAAAGAGAGTGAGAGAGAGAAAGAGAGAGAGATATGTGTCTGCCCATAGGCCAAAGGCAAACCCATGCCAGGGAAAGCAGGGCAGTGCCACCATATCTCTAAATCAATGTCCCTGCTCAGTTTAGCAGTCAAGCCAATCAGTCTGGCTAGCTATGCTTTAACAAAATCACAACTGGGCTGAAAACTCTCTGCACCAACTTGGATCACTTCTACTACAGGCTCTTGATCCACTTTGTTTTGTGAGAAGACTTGTGAGAAGAGTAATTAAGCTGCATTACACAACAGGAAAAATGTTACCAAAGGGTCCATGTTGTCCTACATTACTACTCTGAATGGCACAGAACTGCATTTTGGCACATTGTCTATCTATGAAGATGTTTTCTTGCAATACAATGATGATGCACATCAATTAAGACACGTTACTTGACTTCCACTGATATTTAGAACATAAAGCAGGGTTACTGCAAAGAAAAAAAAAGGCATATTTACTTTTTCAAGCTTTTAATTTTACTTTAAAGCTGCTATATGCAATGTTTTATATTAACAAAGGATGAAATGACTATGTGTATGTAAAAGGACTTGCTTGTAATGAAAAACCCAGAGATGATTATCACCTAACTTCTTAGTTTGCCTCAGCTCTGTGGAGCATTTAAGCGTCTCAGCAAAAAAAGCTCTGGTAAACCCACTGTGCACTACCTGCCCAGCACCATACTGCAGAGACAAATAAAGTCAGTGGCTAGCTGGTGAACACAGTGGAGCATTTAGCAGCTAAAGAGCCAGATATTTCCCTCAGGAGTTGGTGGAGAGCCAAACAGAGAAATGATTGGAAGTGCACACAAACTTGACTTCAAATGAATGCTAATTCTGCTACGTATCTGCTGAATGAGTAAATACTGTAAGATACTGTTTTCTAACATATGCGAATATCAGCTTCATAAGGTGTTGGTGTTTACAGCTCGTGGCCAAAAACATCTGTTGGTGCATTTGCAAAACCCTATATAGAGAGTTGCTTCTTCACCACCTCTACCTTGTCCTGATCGTGGTTAAAGTAAAAGTAAAATCCAAAGCTTGAAAAGCCAGTTTTTTGTTTGTTTATTTCCAGAGTAACTCTACTGTTCTTACTGTACTTGACTTGTGGTTTGGTATGTTTGTTCTCCAAGCAGCAACAGACACGGCATAGTCCATTGATCCACCACTCAAGCGTTACAGTTGTCATTTTCATCATAGCTGAATTTCCACCTAGAGGTTTAAAGTGTTCACAGATAAAGCACAAACCGTAGTGAAGCTGTTCAGATTTTCTTCACATATTATGCAAGGTCACTGTATTTATCACTACTTAATCTCCAGTATCAGCTGCTTTCAGTTGTTAAGCACTGTCTCCAGAAAACTGTGCAATATTGTTTGAAGCAAAAGTTGAGGGAACGCTACACTATATTTTTAGTAACCTTTTATGCAAATGAAAAAAAGCAATTAAAGCTTTTTTTAATTTTAATTTTAAAAT